GTTCCATAATATCCACGGCCCTCAACCCAAATTTCATGTCCAATTTTGAAAGAGTTTTCTAAGCATATGTATCTTCAGTGCTAAATCTCTGATAAACCCTAGTGACAATGGTGATGGCTTGTACACTACACACCGCATGGTGATCATTTTCAGGGTTTATGAATTTGAATATAGTTTGTTGGGATACTAGTGGCAAAGGTTAGTATTAGGTACGTTTAGGCACTGTTTTAAGATGAGTTGTCGTGGTGGACTTGAATCGAAAAATGTAAATTGATAATGTTTAAGGTACCCGACACTTAATTAGCACTAGGCCTGGCGGGGTGATCTTGTAGTTCTTGATCCGTGAAGATATGTTGATAAAATACAAAAATCCAATACAAACAAAAAAGATTGTGTGTTTTGTTTTCTTTCTATTTCGAAGCATTTCATCGCTTACTATGCCCTTTCTCGTCTCCCTATCCTTTGGTACTTGTAGGGTTTCTTGCAGCTTCAGTATTTCTTCCGCTTCTTGTTATTTAGCAACCACAAAGTTTTTCTATCAAATAAAAAAACAATAATTTTTTTAAATATTTTCAATGGAATAATTAGTCATAAATCGTTGGTTGATTGTATCATTAATTATTTTTTCTCCCCGATTTCGATCTATTTGAAAATATAATTCTGTGACTTATAATAAATGTTTTCCTGTTAAGGAATGGAATAGTAATTATTATTATTTTTTATCAAAGAGAAACTTCATTAGATAAATTTCAACAGTACAAGTAAAGATATCAACAAGACATTTAAAGTATCAATCCCAATATTGTAACAAACTAACATGCTAAAAGCAAAACTACCACGGACAAAAGCCGCACTAAAACTATTAGCCCACATCACCACAATTAACCACAAGCCCAAACACAGCCCACAAACTCAACATAACCAGAACCCTAAAACAATTCATGAGCCTAAATGAGCCCTACCACCACCACATGAAGAAGCGCCGTCCCGGCCACACTCACCACTGCATCCGTAACAGATCTGGGGAAAATATGATTCTCAATGATCTACCTACGCATAAGTGCAAACAAATAAACCAAAACAACCTTGCCAAAGAACAATTGAGTGATTTATAGCAATCTCCGTAAAAGACGATGTAGAATCAAATTTAGAGAACATGAGTGTCGTTAGGGAACAAGTTTTGGGAGAAGGATTTGATTGAGAACATAGACTAAAATAGGTAATGGGGAACTTCAATCTAAGCATGGCTCAGAAGAAATCACTACAAGAGATTCTTTTTTATTCAAAACGCCCCAATGGACTTATTCACTAACCTAAAAGAAAAAGACGATTTTTTTAAAAATAAAAAAATCAGCCGTCTAGGCACTATTAGGCAAGTCCATTTTTTTTAAATTTAATTTTTTTTAATAAATAGTAACGTAGCGCAGTTATACATTAGGGTCTTTTTTAAATAAATAGTATGGCCACAAAATTATACTAGGGTCCCTTTGTTTATTAATTTTTTTTCCCTGATTTTTGTTTATCAATAAGAGTAGTTTAAAGAGTATAGCCGCATGGGCTACAATGTGATGTTTTTAAATTTTTTTAAAAAAAATTAATAGTATAGCCACGCGGCTATTCACTTAAAAAAGAGCTACACAGCTATACTAGGGTCCCATTATTTTATTATTTTTTTTCCCTGATTTTCGTTTATCGATAAGAGTAGTTTAGAGCATTATTCATTACTATTAGATCCGTAACAGATCTGGGGAAAATATGATTCTCAATGATCTACCTACGCATAAGTGCAAACAAATAAACCAAAACAACCTTGCCAAAGAACAATTGAGTGATTTATAGCAATCTCCGTAAAAGACGATGTAGAATCAAATTTAGAGAACATGAGTGTCGTTAGGGAACAAGTTTTGGGAGAAGGATTTGATTGAGAACATAGACTAAAATAGGTAATGGGGAACTTCAATCTAAGCATGGCTCAGAAGAAATCACTACAAGAGATTCTTTTTTATTCAAAACGCCCCAATGGACTTATTCACTAACCTAAAAGAAAAAGACGATTTTTTTAAAAATAAAAAAATCAGCCGTCTAGGCACTATTAGGCAAGTCCATTTTTTTTAAATTTAATTTTTTTTAATAAATAGTAACGTAGCGCAGTTATACATTAGGGTCTTTTTTAAATAAATAGTATGGCCACAAAATTATACTAGGGTCCCTTTGTTTATTAATTTTTTTTCCCTGATTTTTGTTTATCGATAAGAGTAGTTTAAAGAGTATAGCCGCATGGGCTACAATGTGATGTTTTTAAATTTTTTTTAAAAAAATTAATAGTATAGCCACGCGGCTATTCACTTAAAAAAGAGCTACACAGCTATACTAGGGTCCCATTGTTTTATTATTTTTTTTCCCTGATTTTCGTTTATCGATAAGAGTAGTTTAGAGCATTATTCATTACTATTAGGCAATTACTCGAGTCTCTATTATCCCCTTTTGATTTTTTACTTTTTCAGAGTTATTACCCGTATAAAGAATTTAGCATTTTCCCGTTTAATACTCGTATTATACATGTACGTTCATATTTTTCAATAATACTTTCGTTTTCCATACACATCTTAAAAACTCGGTAAAATACCCGTTTAAAAAAAAAACATAAAATACATGTATGGTACACGTACGTATGAATTTTTCATGTTTAATACATGTGTTTTTTTTTTTACAAAATTTTCAATAATACACACAAAATTCACATATTATACACATAATTTTAACATACTATTGAATAAAAATACTATATTCAAATATTTAAACAAATTATATTAAAATATATATAGTGGTCGAACTTTTCAATTGTAACTTGCCAAAATTTTGTTGAATAAAACACATATGTATTTATTCGTATTTTTCCCGCTCCATATTTTACTAACTATTAAAGAATTTGAGAGGCTAAGATTATTTCTTACTTGTTGTACGAAAAATGCAAGATGATGATTTTGCAATCTCTTTGCCAACCAGAACAACAATTTCAAACAAAGTTTTATGGGTACAATAGTAAGAGAGGTGGTAGTATTCTTCTTGTAAAGTGTTGTTTGAAAAGTGAAGCAATTACCAAGACCACTCCAACTCAGCATGCAATTCTGTACGATAAATAATGTGTGCAGTAAAATTATTTAGTAGCACTCGAGAGAACGAGATAGATCAAAGGCAAACATTCCCACGCAAATAATAAAAAATAAAAATTGAACTCTCAGATTGATTTACTGTGAAATTTCTCTATTTTCAATATCTGCTTTGGATATGTTGAAACTAGCAAATTAATAACTATAAAGTATAAACTAAAGCAAGTAGGCCACAAAAGTTCAAAATTGCTAAGGCACCCTTCTTTGCAAACTCTCAAACTAGAAAACTTATGTTTTGCTTCCAGCGTAACCTATCTCTGTTAACTGTTTTTCCCGAGCAAAATGGTACTTGCAATACACGTATAGTGGGACCTAAGAGGGGCAAAGTAAAAGTTTATCATTCTAATGATTTTCGAAATCACATCAAAATTTTGAGTAAAGATACCTTTGTATACAACGAGTCCTAAGACTCCAATAGCCAGCGATATTGCAAGAGGAACTGTCAAGGGCTGATCAGGTTGAGTAATGGTGCTTTTCATTCTGTTAGTTCTTATTGTGGATTTTTTTCATTTTTGTAAAATAATTAGTATAGTCGTGCGGAGTATAGTCGTGCAGAGTATAGTCGTGCGGAGTATAACCATGCGGCTATACGTTTTAAAAAAAATTTGTAAAAAAATAAAATAAAAATAGACTGTTTAGACGCTATTAGGCGGGTTCTTTTTTTACTAAATAGTACCATTGTGCTGCTATACTGGGGTCTTTTTTTTCTTAATTTTTAAAAAATAAATAGTATAGCCGCTTGGTTATACGCGTAGAAAAAAAGGGCCTCACGGCTTTGCGTTGTAAATATAATATATTTAAAGAATAGATGCTAGGCTATATTGGGGTCTTTTTTTGTTTATTTAATTTTTTTAATAAATAGTACAGCCGTACAGCTATACCGGGGTTTTTGCATTAATTTTTTAAAATAAGTAGTATGGCCGCACGGCTATATTGTGGGTTTTTTTTTGTTTTTTTAATATTAAAAAAACGGCTATACTTATTAAAAAAAAACATATGCCTAGTCACTAGGCGAGTGCCTACCATAACAACAATTTCAAACAAAGTTTTATGGGTATAGTAGTAAGAAAGGTGAAAGTATTCTTCATGTAAAGTGTTGAGGAGGGAAGAAGGGGCATTGATGCTTTTTTCTCTTCCTCACTCTATGGAGTTTTCCTTTAGAACTTACAGAGGGAAAGATATATTAGAATTTAGTTGTGAGCGTAGAGTTTTTGAAGGGAATAATAATTTATTCATTGAACTTGATAAATGAAATGGTTAATAATTGAAAATGAGATTATTCGGACTCATAAATACATATAGAATTATTTGGAAAGCCCTATTCAATGTAAGAAAACAGATTCTCTTTTTTGAAGTTGCAACAACTATTACTACCCATTGCAAGCTCAATAACTTACCTATATTCATTTTTGTTTGTCAACTATCACTATTTACGCAATAAATCTGTCACACTTTTACCACTAATACCCTTAAAAGAAAATAAAGCTAAAAATAACAAGTAACAACACAATATTGTATCAAACTACTAGCTTTCACCCCACCTGTGGTAGGAGAAACACTCTCATGCAATGACACTTTTTACTATCCTGACCAATAATGAAACGATATGTGGGCTATTGTTTCCACATGTCATTGTGTTATTGGTTGAGAATAGTAAAACAGTGCTCTTTCCATTACAAGATTATTTATTTATTTATTTATTTATTGCTGTGGTATGGGAAAACCTTGACAAACAATAGTTTAAAAAAAAAATGCCGGACAAAAAAGAGAAGCAGGAATTTAATCCCATCTTTCGGGTGTGGGAACACTTCGTGATATTTACCCAAAATAAATAAATAATTGTATAAACCGTTAACACAAACCCGGAAAAAGTTTGAGGCAGTATCAGCTCCGAAGTCCGAGTCTCGTTTAAGAGACCCGCCCAAGTCGTCGACACTCACAGTAGTATAGAGAAGCCAGAACAAAAACGCGAAGCGACGGAAGAAGAAAGAAGAGAAGCAAGGGAAAACCAGGAGAATCGGTGAGCAGAAAAATGGAAGTGGAGGTTGACGAGAAGGAGCTGAAAGCCGCCGGAGCTGAGCCGTTGACCGACGGACGCCATGGCCTCCGTATCCATGGTTGGGAAATCGAGTCTCGCAAGCGCTCCATTCTCAAGTCCTCCACCCTCGAACTGTATGCTCTTGATTTGATGCTGGGTTGCTGTTAAAAAGTTTCAATTTTATTTATTTTCAAGGTAGATGCAATGTTAGGGATGTTTCTTGATGTGGGTTGTTGCAGGTGGGAGAAAAAGCTTGAGACATATCACATGCCAGAAATGGTGTTTGGGGACAGTTGTTTGGCTCTGAAGCATTTTAAGAGTGGCTTTACAATTCATTTCAATGCATTTGATGCTCTAGTTGGGTGGAAGAAGGAAGCTTTGCCACCAGTTGAAGTCCCAGCTGCTGCTCAATGGAAATTCCGAAGGTAACCCATTGGCTACTTTTATGTACTCGGATGGACTTTTGTTTTTCTGTTCTTTCTTGGGTAGCTTTGTGACACTCAATTCTATAGCGTGTTACTAAAATGTGTACCTCTTTTGATTTCAAGGGTGATTGATTGATGCTTTAGGAGACCCTCCATATGCTTTGTACTATCTAAAGTATGGGGATAATTTTGTAGAGCTAAATTAGACTGACAAATTCAATTGACAGGATAGAAATATGTCTCGACTTCTGTATCTCTCTTCAATTTATTTTCTGATAACTTTGTTGTGGAATAGAAATAGTTGTGTCTTGATGGTGGGTGTGAATCTGTCGATTGAGTTGTTGTTGTTGTTTTTTTAAAACAAAAACAAAAAAATACTGATGGAGATACTGGTCTTCAGTCTTACATTCCTTTTCTCAATTTTCAGTAAACCCTCCCAGCAAATAATACTGGACTATGATTATACATTCACAACGCCATACTGCGGAAGTGAAACTGTTAAGTTTGATGCAGACAAGGTGCACATTTTATCTTTTGTCTATAGTTGAGCATTTTCACTCTGTTTTGTTAAACCTCGCTTAAAAGAAGGAACTACAAAGCTTCTGGATGCAAAGCCTTTTCATTATTTATTTTACTGTTGTTTATGTTATGATAGTGATACGAAGTATTCTTTAAAAAAGAAAGATAGTGATACTATAGTATTAATTCATATTTTATACGGCAGCTTGAAGGAGGAGAGATCTCTAAGGATACCTGCAATCTCCATTGGGAAGACTGCAACGAAAAAATTGATGTAGTTGCTTTGGCTTCGAAAGAGCCTATTCTCTTTTATGATGAGGTGGGCATCCTGGCTGATAACTAGAAGCATATTCATAGGCTGTGCCAATGCAGACATATGCGTTTATCTACTCTTTACTTTTTATGTGTGTGCCATGACAAAAGTCATCCTTTTAACCTTTACAGGTAGTCTTGTATGAAGATGAATTGGCTGATAGTGGAGTGTCACTTTTAACTGTAAAAGTGGTAAGTCTTCAATCTCTATTTTCCCCTTGTGGCTTAATCTGCTTTTCCAACAATATGACGATCGCAAGGAAGGACTTATCATGTACATTTTGATTTTCTAGAGAGTCATGCCAAGTTGTTGGTTTCTCCTGTTGCGATTTTGGGTGAGTCAATTTCTCTCAATTCACTTACATTCCTTCCAAGCACAATTATCAATGTATTTTTGGTAGATAAAATTGTTTTGGCACAAGTTCTTAATTTGTTAACTCTGGGACTTAGTTAAGAAGTATTCTAACTAATTGGAAAAAGAAAATACCAAGCTCTTTGGAAACTTCATGATTATATCAGTCACTTCTTCTTTCTGTTTCCTTAATGTTATAACTTACTGATTCAGATCTTCTTACAGCTTAGAGTTGATGGAGCACTAATGAGACTAAGGGACACTCGAATGCATTGTGCTTTTAATGACAATGCAAGTCCCACTATTCTTCGAGAAAGCTGCTGGAGAGAAGCCACATTTCAGGCTTTATCTGCAGTAAGTTGAAGTTCTGTGCTTGCATACAAATTATAATACTGCCTTTCTTTCTGACACTATCTCAAATTATTTAGTTGTTTTGTTTACTCTTGGGAAACAAAGAGATGCTCTGAACCTCCCCCACTTCCCAAAACTTATTTGATTGTTGTGTGACTTGTGGAAAATGAACAGGCATTTTCTGTTCATCAAATTTGAACACGGTTTTGATGATCTTGTCAGCTAAACAAATATAAACAAATACCATCGTCAAATTATTTCGGTTTATATCATGCAATTCTTTCCTGCAAGGTTTCAAGCTTCTAATCTGGATTAAGTTTTGTCATCTGTTCATAATTAGATGAAACTAAAAGTAGTAATATCAAAGTTTTTGCAAGATAAGTAAAGCTTAGGCTTGAAGTTTTTCTGGAACTTAAAATACAGTATCAGTTTATATCATGGAATATTCTGAATTTGAATGTAGCAATTTAGATTTTGAATAAGGCTTTTATCCTTCTGACTTAAGGATGTAAGTTGTATTCAAGTCAAGCTTTGCTTAAGGGTAATGTGGTAGATGCTACTCTACATGGGATCTGGTTGCTGTTTTATCTTATGGACTTGAAATAGATAGTAAGCTAACTGACTTTTAATAAACTAGCAACTGTATTTTTCTCTAAAGGTGTTTTCTAATAGTTCCTACTAGTGATTTTGTCCTTCTTCTTCCTATGGGACCTTTCTAATAGTTCCTACTAGTAGTATTGTCAAAAGAAAGAAGATTTTTTGTTGCGTTGTGCATGAAGTATTTTCTTTTCACATTTCTTAATTAAATGGTGCAGAAGGGATACCCTTCTGAAGATGCTGCCTATAATGATCCAAGCATCATCAGCCAAAGGCTTCCTGTCATCATGCATAAGACCCAAAAGCTAAAGGTACCTGATAATGTGTAAGGCTGTAAATTGTCTCCATGCAAGAGTTTCTGTTTTGCTGGATTCTATTGAATGTAAACTTTTCTTTTCACATTCGCATATTCTCTTACTCTTTCTCATGTTTATTAAGTTATCTTGTTCAATTAATTTGGAAAAGTAGAAAGAAAAAAAAAAACAAGTACTTTATGCAAATTTCCTATTTTTATATTCGTATCATGCCACCACAATAATTGTGGGGAGAGCTGAAAGAAAAAGCAATACAACATGAATTAGTAATAAGGTTGCAACTTTCATATGAGATTATAATTTATTTCTATAAATAAAATGCTCTAAAAATCAAATTAAAAAATGTTTTACATACAAACATTCAGGATGCGTCCATGGACCTTGGCTTAAGCGATATGGGTTGAGGATAGATCCTAGCTTAACCAAAAAACAAAAACAAAAAAATTATCAGAGAGACCCATGCGTTGCTAGTGTAGAACGTCCTTTGTATAGAAGTTGAACTAATTGACCACATCCCCTTTATGTTAATCTAAAGGAAGTTCTCTTCAAAATAAAAAGTAAAAATCTAAAGGAAGTTCCAGATGGTTATCCCATTATAAAGTTTAAGAATAATCTTAGCATCAGTTTATATGTGAAAAAGAAAATGTATCAGAAAAACAATGTCCTCTGATATTAAGCAATTCTAGTCAATGGTATACGAAACCAGATAGAGGGAGTGCATGTGACAAGTATGCATCATAAATAGACATAATGTTTTATCTGACATATAGAAGTCAGTATAGGAAACTGATAAATTGGGATTGTTGTTGTTGATGTGTTCTCCAAAAGCATCTTTGTCCTTTTTCTGGTAGGATATGCTCCATTGGTAAGGAGATCACTTGGGGTCTCATGTTTTCCGTTGCTGGCATGGTATATGTAAGAATTACAGCCACTAGCCATTTATCAGTTTAGGAAGGCAAAAGAAAAGTACAGGAAAAGAAATGCTAGGCACCACATAGAGGCACTGATTTGGGAGGAGTAGCATACAATGTTAATGGAGGAAAACTTCCAAATTTTCATATTATCTGATTCTTTGTGGAGCTTAAGGAAGTAAAGTTGTACAAGTGCAAAACTCTTTCTTTTGACTTACAACCTAGGTGTGCGGTCTTGGCTACTGAAACTCTCACATGCATACAAAAATATGACATGTCAGAACTTTGTTGTTACTTTCAAAATCTCCGAGTTTTTAGAGTTGCTATGCCTATGCTTTGACCTTTCTGAAGGCCTCAGGGATGTAGCTTTTGAGCGGTAAAAGCAGGCTGGGGTTAGGGTGGCTCTTAGGCTAGAATCTTGCCAAGTCAATATTGGGAAAAGCCATAGCATTGTTTGAGCCATAGATACAACAAAGCTAGAAGTTGATAATCAGTAGCAGAATAGAAAAACCTCATAAGAACTCATTTCCATGAGACATAATGCACCTGAGATTATTGCATGCATCATGGAATAGGAAATAACTTCAATATTATAACATGCCTAAAACAGTAGGAACTTCTCAGTATCTTTCCTAGTTTCACTGGGTAGATAAACAGAGGATGACTCTCCAAGTAGGCCTCTAACCTATGCTAGTTCTGTACTTGGTAGAAAATAATTGAGACCTCTTCCAAAAGAAAAGTTATAAAACAAAGTTCCAAACTAGGGTAGTAGGATGGATGGATCAGAGCCGAAGGTTTAAGTCAAGCTTGCAGGGCTCTGATTGTGGCTCTAATACTTGTGAATCCAACCGGAAGCTGCCTGGCCACATAGAATCCATTACATCGTCCAGTGTGAAAGGCCTCATGCTAAACCTTGTATTTGCATCATTGAATCTTGCTACAAGTGAAGTTTCATCTCTGCCTGGCTTGTGCACAAGTGAGTGAGGCTGAACGCTGAGTGATCTAACCATAGAAGTAGTGAACGGAAATCCCATCATTGACATCATTCTTTGAGACTGGTATCTTCTGGCTGCACCTCTTTCTCTCTTGTGGGCGTTCTGGTGACCCCCTAATGCCTGCGAGCTGAAGAACTTCCTCATGCAGAAGTTACAGGAAAACACCTTGCTAGAAGCTGGTCTTGACTGTGAGTCTGTATCTCCCTCTGTTGAGAGCAAATTCCTACCTAGGCTCAGGTTCAGCCACTCTCCTCTATTAAGATCGTCAGTTTCTTCTTTGTTATCGTTGTTGATCAAAAATCTGTTTTGCTCTTTATCTAATATTAGTTCACTTTCACGTTCTCCTTCTCCCTGGGAGATCATTTCTTCTCAAATCTCAAATTAGGTGAGGGTTTCAAAAGGAAATGGATGAATTTAAGCTTGTGCAATGGTTTGAAATGGTTGTAATTGACTGTTTGAAGGGTTTGATCAAAGAAAAAAAGAGAAAAGAAATGGAGAGAAGCATTAAGAATGTAAAGTGGAGAATGCCTGTTTTTTATTTTATCTCTTCTCAGTGAAGTGGCCCCTACCTTGTGATGCTCGGTGCTCCAGGGGACAATGTCTATGTCATCTTCACTGTTTCCCTTGTTAAAGCTTAGGATTCCTCACTTTCATCTTTCTCCTTTTTTTCTGTTCCTCAAATGACACCAACTTTACATCCTTTTGGAGTAACTGGGAGAATTACAGAGTTGACAATCCTACAACATTACTAGTCAAAATCAGTCTTCTAAATGTTTATTTAAAGTGTCTGCCACGTTTGCTTCTTATCCACACCAAGTATACAACTTGGTTTCTGTTTAACTTAAGTGGATTTGTGAGTATGTTGATGGGATTTTTCTTATTCTCAATAGGAATCTCTGGGTTATGGTGCATGACTTGATCAATAGGAAATTCACCTTGCAAGCGGTAGTTTTCTTCTCTTTCTTCTGTGAATTTCTTCTCCTTAGTTACCAACAGTAATTAGTAAACTCTAGTCTGTCAAAAGTTCAAAACACAGTCCACTTACATCACTCCCTGCATATAGGACATAAGTTTTTTACCCACCAGACAAAACCCTTTCATGTCAAGTAGGTATCAATTGGCAGTAAAGATGGGGCACCTACCAAACCAATATGCAATGCTGAGTGGAGATGAGTTTATGATAAGAAGCTTCACAGTGCAGCTAAAATATTAGTGAGTGGTGGTAGAGTTACTCTCGTTTTAATTGTCTCATGATTTGATGTGTTGTGGTGGAGTGATTGGGGCCCAGAGAATTGGCAATAATGGTTCAAAGAAGTAAGCAATTAGCAAAACCGGATAGGGTGGTATCGTGGCTTGCAAATGTTTTAGTGTTCCCTTTGGGACAATAGTATCTATGTGGGTGTCTTCCTGCTGGGACTTCTTGATGCCCCTTTTCGAACTGCTAGTGGTGGGCAATGCGTGTGTACAGTAGGAGAAGTGCATTAGGAGCCACCTGTACTTCTATTCAGTCTTTTTGTGACTTAAATCAAAGCTAAAGACAAGAGGAGCTCGGTTGCCCTAAATCTCTCAACACGCACACACAAAGATAAAAAGTTGATCAAAAGTTATAACAAGAACCAATGAATTTTGAGCTTTCTGAAAGTTTGCAATCCTGTTGATATGGGAGAAACACTTGTGTGAAACGGGAATAGCATTGTTTTGCAATTTCCGGCCAATCATTGTATGTCATGCATGATAATTTTTTCACGTAGAAGTTTGTAATTGGCCAAGGATAGCAAAACAATGCTACTCCCCATTTCACCCAAGTTTTTCTTATTGCTATGGCTGCTGCTGTTAGATAAGAGAGTTTTGATTAACATTTCACACACGTTTTTCTAGTTGATATGGTTGCATTAATTATACAGAAAGTTCTTGTAGAGTACTAAAACATCGTCATGTGATGTTATTAAATTCACATATTATAATATTGATGGACAAGATGTTATTAAATTCACATATTATAATATTGATGGACAAGATGTTATTAAATTCACATATTATAATATTGGTGGACGAGGAGTTTATGGGTTGTAGTATTAATAATTAAAACGTGTGTTATAAGGAGGAAAACTTTCACAACTTACCTTTTCATGTTTGCACAAGGTATTAAGACAAAGTTGCAAATAAGTTAAACAATGGTTAGCGTTGTGATAAGAATCGGAGAAGTAACATGCATAAAATTCACACTTGGGGTCTGTTTGGCACTGACTTTGGAGGACTCTGTTTGGCTGAAAAACTTAAAATGTTAACATTATTGTGCTTAGTAAAGCACTTATGAGCAGTAGTTTTAGTGATAACCCAATTGCCCAAACCCACCGTCTGTTCAGTATTATTACTTGCTGTGTTATGAAGATTCGTGAAGATTGGAACTGCTCTGTCAAGCATGTCTTTCGAGAGCAAAATTATGCTGCTGATGCCTTGGCTGCCAAAAGTTATGAGTTTAATCATGGCCTCCATGTTTTTAAGAAACTCCTGCCTTTCTTAGAGCCATTTTAGATGTTGATGCTCGAGGTGCTGCTAAACCTCGCCTTGTTCCTATTCAATTGTTTCTGTTTTGGGGCGTTTGCCCCCCTCTGTACCCCAAAAACAAAAAACAAAAACCACTTATGAGGAGAAGAAGTATTTTCTACATAATTATTCCCAAACGTGTCAACTTGCAAATAAGCACCTAAAAGAGTGCCCACTTTAGTTTGTCTGTCAAACTTTTTAACTCTTATTGAGGGTGAAAAGATATTTATGGATACTCTCCATTATAAAAAAAAGATATTTATGGATACCAATTCCATGTGAAGGCTCTCTCCTCTTTCTCCTTTTCTCCCGCATGCATCTCAATTGGTTTAGTTATCAGCACCGGATGGAGAAACACTTCCGCGAAGTGGAGATAGCAAATGAGTGTTATTCTAATTGCAATTAAGTTTTTCTTTACCGGATGAGTATGAATTGCTGAAGACAAGTTAATATCTTTAATGGTACTTTATGACACAACTTATTAAAAATTTGTGAAATTTTTTTTTAAAAAAATTCTTAATTCATAAAAGAGGCTGAAAATTCAACTCTCGGCATGATTTTGATGGATAGTGGATTAGCAACAGCTATTTCTGACTCAACAGTTCGTGAGAAAACTGAAGAAAGAAAAAATTTAAACAAGGAGGAAGATGCTAAGTGATCAAGTGTGTTTGCCCGTTTTTGGAAGACTTATTATCAGAATTCATGAAAAGGTGTATGTAGGAAAATGTGCCTTAAGCTTGTTTGCTTTGTTCTCCTGTCACCGTGCGGAGCTTTATTGTGGACTTTTGGTATTCATCACATTTTTTTTTTTAGGAATTCAATTTTGTTGCTAATTCTCTAGTCAAAAACGGCCAATAATAAGGAGTTGGGCTTTGACATTCTCTATGAACCTCGTGTTATTATAAAGAGATTTTCGATTGTTAATAATAATAAGAGTGCTGCTAAATGAATCCTAAAATTAACTGAGTACACCATACTATCAAACTATTTATTGAATTACTAATTTACCCTAATATAAAATGACCAAAAAGGATATATTGAATTGTATTCCCCAATATGTACACCATCTTTAAGACTTGACGCATGCCCATTGTTATAACTATGGTCAACTCTTTAATTTTAATCTTTTAAACTATTTAAAACCATAAAATAAAATAAAATTTAAAAAAGAGAAAAAAAGCTCTCTCTCTCCTTCCCGACCCACTCACTTTGAGACGAGTTGAGATATGCTGTCCCCAAATTCCCAAACTACCAAATCTCCCTAACTTAGATTGAAAACCCACACCTCTCTCGAAAGATTGAAGATAATATATTTAATTAAGAATTAAAATCTTTGTTTTACTGCTTGAGCTTTTGAACCCATGCC